TTAGTTAACTTTAAACATTTATAATTCAAAAACTATTATAGTCTCAACATTTTGGTATTGGAACTTTTGTCTTAAAATGATCTCAGGAATCTACCCTTAAGCGTTAGTCCGGTCATTACGGGACACCCTGTATAATATAAAAATAATCAAAATAACTTCTTTGCTAATGTATTCATTTCCTTATAATAATAATATATGTATATATTGTGCGTATAATTTATATGTATATATATATTTTTTTAAACGGTTGTATATATATTTCTATATAAATAATTCTTCGCAAAATTATTAAAGATGTTTAAATTATATCAACTAATTAAAAAATATACTTTATAATACATTTTAATGGTATCAAAGAATATTAAAAAACTTGTAAGAAATATAAGTTAAAAATAATAGAGATAAATTATATATATATATATATATATATATATATATATATATATTAATGGTAAATCTATTTATTAGACATTTTTATTGTGGATTTTCATTTAAAATTCAAATTAAAATTTCCCAATTACTAAATTCTGATAAATTAATTTAATATAATTAATTTAATATAATTAATTTAATATAAATTAATTTGCATTTAAAAAAATAAAGAAATTCTTTTGGAAAAACTTCTAAATAAAAAAAAAATGTTTGAGACAATGTGTAGAAATATAATCTTACAATTAATTTTTTCTCACTCATTACTAATGCTCGTCATTTGTTAAGGTGCATTTGTTGTACCATAGGAACATCGTATATTAAATTTAAGAAGGCATTTGTTATATGGACGAATGTCCTTGTCCATGCAATGATTTTATTATTAATTTCGTTTAATAGCCATGACGTATTTTTTATTATTGGAGAAGGTTCTCTTCTGAAAAAATTTATTTTTATAGCTAATTAATAATTAAAAAATTTATTTTCATAGCTAATTAATAATTAATTTTCAAAAATTAATTCTTTTTATCAAATTTTCATTTTTATAAATAGATAAATTGACTTAATTACATATATTACAAAATTTTAATAGACGTTCATATGTTTAATATTTACTTATATAACTTATTATAACATACTTCTTATGTAATACTTATATGATATTTACCTTTCGCTACTCAATTGCTTCGTTTGGTTGGTGTAAGTGTACATGTAGCATGCCGGGTAAGAACTTGTAGTTTTTATTCGATGAAACTTCCCTGTTTCAATGGGGATCGATTTTTTCTTCGACAGAGTGATCACGTCCGGCGATTCGTCTTCGACGTAAGTTATCTCGCCTTCTAGCACCGTCAAAGATACGTTCGCGAAATCGGTGGATATATAATTTTCCAAATACATCCCTGGAAAGTCGGCCACGAACAACACATCTGTATAATTCGACCAAGTGTATACGTGCTGTTGAATCTCATCCATTTTATGTCTGAAAACCATAATGAGTATAGAGTAGTTGCGATAAAAAAATTAACGCGCGTTTAAGTGTGTTATTAATGAGTTAAATCATGAGTTTTAAATAATTTTTTAAGCTCTCTTGACTGATCGAGATTGTTACCAATTATTATAAATTCTTTATAACTTAATTAATTAAGATTATTTTTGACAACATATTTTATCGCGAAAATATCTGTATTATATTATATCTAATACATTAATTTGGGGAATAGACAGACATACCGATATGAACTATACTGCGTGAGTAGAGGCATGAGGAATGAAATGGGCTTAAATGGATGCCAGTCGACCGTCAACATGTCGACGTTCGGATCGAATATTCGCTGTTGAAATCTGCCGTTCAGCGAACACCACACATCCATGTAAATGCTTAAATTCGTAGACAGTTTCATCCACTTTTCCTTAACCTCGGAATTATGATCGGTCCACAACGCTTCCATTTTCCGACGCATTAGGTTATCCTAAATTTACACATGGACAAATTCAACGTTTGATTGATGTGAGATAAACGTACAATAATGAAATAAGAGGAAGAAAAGTATTAGGAATTTTAAGGCAAATATTTATTTGTGACATCTTAAAACCTTTAGGCATTGTGAATATTGCATTGCCATGTCCCCGTGCCTCAGCCATCGATCGCTTTGCACCCACGCGTAAGGATCTAAATATCGTACCTCGTCGTTCGCGTTATCGTGCACTTTGATCACTACGAGTACAGTGTCCCAGGCATGAACCATCATGTCCCAGGAATAACCATATAGACCGGGTACCCAATTGTTATAGCCCTGAGGTACAGATTGTTACATTTTTGTTATAAAGATATATGACAACTTAAATCTAGAAAAACTTGCGATTATAGTCGTTTCACGTATTGTATATAATTTTACGGAATTAATTTAATCACAAAAATAAACGTATTTAGAAGTGTAATTATTATTTGTGGGAATACTACTGTAGTAATACGATGTAATGTATAATAATGTTAATGTTATTAATAAGCGATACCTTTGATATAAAATGCGAGTACGGTGAAAAAAACTGCAGTACGATGTGGCACAGCAACAGCGACGCTACAAACTTTTGCTTTCTCGTAACTCTCGGTGAACGCCGAGCTGTCTGAATCTTTTCACGAACGCTTATCGCTTCTTTTTCATTGAGCTCAATCGATTTCTTAGACAATTGCGTGTCGTTGTTTTCTTTATTGACTTTTCCTTCAGATTTTGATTTAACAAAATAATTTTTATCTTTTTCTTCACTTGTTGCTTTCTCTGAAAATAGTTGTATAAATATTTTAAAGCTTGTATTGAATTGTATTAGATAAAAAATATTTACCTTCACGTTTCGCTCCGGTATGTAAGATTTCATTTGAAGGCAATGTTAAGCAGTTGTGCTTTAGAGATCCTTTCGCTTGACTACCAGTCTCTTCTACGTTATTTGCATCGATTGAATTTGTATTAACCGACAAAATCTTTTGTTTCCGCTTAAAGTACAGCCTTAATCTACGTGGCCAGTCTACACGACAAAAGAGCGGCATTGTTGCCAAGCACACATATGGAAACATCCCTGTAAAGATTCTCTTCTGATATGCCTCTTATAAATAATATTGCCAGAAAAATCTTCAAATATTTAATTTATCCTCATCTAAATATTTTCCGTTTGAAATTTTTTTATTTAAATAATAATTACCTATGTTAAATAGTCTCGAGTTCATGAAATGAAAAGCTGTGCAGAAGATCATGGACGGTACGCGTGTTTTCTCGAGCAGCATAAAAAATCCGATAGTCAGATCGAAGACAAAGCCGAACCAGTGGACGATTAGAAAATCAATCTGCTCCGTGAACAGAAATATTCTAAAAGAGAGCATTTTCCTAAGTATACTCATCGGGAAACAATCCTGTTCTTATTTTGCAATAACTTTCGTGCAATTTTTGTTCGCTATAGAATACGTGAGTTGTGCAATTTTCGTCTTCGTCTCGAACAAGTCGCGAATTCCACTTACTTAAATGGATGAAACACCCAGTGTCTAGACAGATTCGTCATGGAGTAGCCTTCGAGCCATTCTCTGCCGGACTTCTTCAAGCCGGCCAAAAAGTAAAGCGCAAAGAATTGAAATTTCAGGATAAAGTAGTTCCAATACGGCACGAAGTTGCCGTCCCGTTTCGCACCGTTTGCATCTAACGCGCTAAGAAACGACGGCACATTAAATCTCACTGGTAATGCATGTTAGAAGAATTATGTGGGAATACGCACTAAGAGAAAAGTGTTTGTGACTATAATTTCATGATAGAATAATTACGATTAGGAGCTTCATTTTTATAATTATTACTGCTATAATGTTAATAATAATTACATACATTTGTATAATACTAATATAATTATAAATATATATTTGGCACCGAAAATGACTATACATGACTATAATATAGTTAAATTGTAATTGCAATCATTTCTTTCTCTCAGTGCAGTGTATTCATTTGACTTACAAATATTTGTTTGCCCCCGTTCCCCAGAGCAAGATGGTCACGACGCCGTAGAGATAGGTATGATTGTTCCAGTAGCTTTTTTCCAGCAAGAAGATATACCAATAAGGCAGCACGAAGCAGGCGCACGCGAGCCTGAAGCGCAGACCGAGCGCGATTCCGAAGGCACCCATCCACATTACCGCGTATATCATCACCATCCACGGCAGCGACGGCGGCTTCATCCCATGGATCAGCGGGAAATGGCAGTCCCACGGATCTCCCCATTTTACGTCCACGATCGCGAATCCTCTCTCCTCGACGACGTCTATCACCATGCACAGGCCTGGAGAAAAATGCGCGACTTGTCGTTGAATTTTCGGAATGTATAATTTTGTAGGTACAGTTCGAGAAGGAGATTCGGATGTTACTTGGTGGTTTAAATCGTTTTATAAATTACATAGAAAGACTTGTCTGCCTGCGTGCTTTAGCACGGCCCTAAATGCTAGCTCTTTTAAATATTTAATTAAGCTTGATTGCACATTGCGCAAACGTTGTTAAGATAAAGACGCTCGCAAGTAATGCACTTTTTCTACCGGCGATATTGAATCACGGTCGTGACTTTATTGGCTCAAGCCATTAATTCTCATAACCGCTTTAATAGGTCTTAAATCGTGTCTAGTTCTTACAATTCAAATTCTTCACTCCGTTTATTAAGTGTTGCGGTGAGTAGGATTGAACTGTATGTGATAACAGCAATGAGCCAATGTGTCTAATTTATGGAATGGTCTTTCCGTCTTAACGCATATAACATATTACGAGATAATCGTAATATCATTACGATATAATTAAATTCTATAATTAGAATTGAATAACTGAATAATTTATTAAACACTCCTTTATCATTATTTTATCTAATTGTGATAATTACATTTTTTTCAGCAAATAGATAAAAAAATTATAATTTGTGACAATTATTTAATTAGTTTGTAATTAGAAAAATTATGTAACAATATGCATATGTAATTATCATTTCGACTCACCAAATAAAGCTCTGGCCACTCCTAGACTCGCTGGATCGGTCGGACGATACAGGAATTGAGTGAATTTCTCAAGACTTGACACATTGCTTATTTTAAAATCGAAGAGTCTTTCAAAATTGTTACTAAGCGACGATATCAATGATGACCAGAATTCAGACACGAATTTGATGCAATTTCTTACGTATAACCCATTATTTGGCGATGTAGACGCATTTTTCGTCGACTCATCTTTCTTCCTCCACATACCACCGCCTCCAGTTCTGCAAGCAAACAACAAGTTTCCAATTAATTTTATCTTTGAGTTATCTTACTTAAAGTTATCAAAATCAGCAAGCCTAAAAATTGTATAAAAAATATAAAATATATAATTGAATTCACAAATATACGACAACAAATTTAAATCTTATTTTTTCTTTAGCATGATTTTTACGCTATTTAAAAAATAAAAGATAGTTATAATAATGAAACTTAAGAAAAACATATATAAGCAATTATTTTATTTAATAAGTTGAGTGCGTTTGGTGAGGCGCGAATATTAAATGTGGAAATGATTTATTTCAGTTTACTTGATCGGTTGGGAAGATGTGCGGTTAATAAAGACTTTAATGTGGCACGTGTCTCGGTTAATTTATTCGGGTTATACAACGAACGTACGTATCGCGTCGGAAATCGCCAGCCGAGTCCCTGTTTCTCATTATCCTCGCGGTCGCCAGACCAGTCTCGTCTAACCTTGCTTTGTTTTCACCACGTGTTTATGTCACAGTATTTAAATGTATCACTTGCAACGTTAATTTCCGATCGATTTCTTCGACGGCCTAATTGTCTCTAAGTTTATTTGACGCGATATTGACCTTTTTTTTCTCGTGACCTACAGCTGATTCTTCTGTGTCAACCGCGGCTATTCGTGTTCTTTACTTGTTTCTCGCGGATTTTATATTTAAAGAATATTTTAACGCAAACTAAGTTTAGGGTAGTAGTGCAATCGCCACAAGCTGAAATTCTTTAATTTAAAAGACAATGTAGGATATGTAATAATTCTTTAAAGAACGAAGTATGACAAACTTTTCCAGGTATTTATTTCTGTTAATTTGTAACAGGAAGCTAGTTGTAACGTATGGTAATTGAATGAATTGTGGCCGCTGCCGACGAACAAATATCTCTTGTCGAAGCAATTTTATAATGTTAAGTGACATTCTCTTTTTTTTATGTGCAACTTTAATCGATTTAAAAATTATATTATTGTGTTAAATTAATATAAGAGAAACTTAATACACTCTCATATCGACACCTCCATTTAACCGCAATACAGTTACAATTTTGGGAAGTTGCACGTGCGACGATTATCGGAATCGAAACAATTCTCGCGCATGCAGAACACATTGCACACTTGTCACGTGTTTTTCCCGCCATGAAATTGACGCGTTTTAAATGCACAGATTTTTAAAAGACGAGAAGGAAGAGAGAGATCAAGCGCGAATCGACTCAATACCTGGCTGGTTCTTTCTCACGAACGGAGATGACACCGTGAAAAGCCAATCGCCGCTAAGTTGGAAGATAAGATCCTCGTCTTTGTTCTCAATAGCGCGTGGTAGGCTGGTCGGCTTCTGTCCGGAGTCTGGGCAACTGAAGAAAGAAGAGAGGTGCACCTCGCGCCGGTTGTTTCAGAAGCTCAAAGTATATAGGTACTGTCGCCAAGCAACGAATTATTGACCCGCGCCCGCGCAATAATTATATACTTCACGGCATTTCTTCATCCCACATGCACTAGGATTTTGCCGATAGATGTTATCGATATTTTATTGAAAGTAAAGTCCGCAATCGGAAAATATCAGCTGTCAAATAATTACAATATATTAAAATTAAAAAAAAAAAAAAGATTATTTTTACTTTTTAAAATATTTTAAGAAATACTTCTTTATTAAAGCACAGTGATATAAAAATTAATATCCAATTTAATTATTATCAATAGAGTTAAATAAAAGAAGTACCTATAGTTAAATAAGAATAAAATATCTATCTTAAAATTAAAAAGTATATACATATAAATTGATGCAAAAATATTATTGAGCATCAAGATTTGTTTTGATCATATAGATTTATTTCTACTGTTAAATTATTGTTAAAAACTATTATTAAAAAAATTTTGAAATAAAAATATAATTAATTATTTTTAAATGTTTTTAATATGAAATTCAAAATTACACAAGTCGGATTCAAATGCATTGCAGCATATAAGTCGATGTCTTCTATAGAACGTATGATTCATAGATCTCATTAACAACCTAGATTATGCTCATGAGCTATACTATTTCATATGTTACTCACGCAACGACCGTATATATTATTTTGTTAAATTGAATTGCCTACTTTAATCACGATTTCCAATTAAAATTAAAGAAAAAAAAATTCGTCATTAGAACGATTATTATTGAACAAATAACTCCAAGATATAGATATGTTTCTTGGAAGCTCATGAAAATTAAAATATTTTAGACAAATTCGAGATAGCAGGCGAACGGATCAAAGAAGCGCTTTCCGCCGCGATAGAAATATTTGGAGCAAGATTAACAGCTTGAGATAATTAGCCAGAGTCTTATCGTGCGGATTTCCATGCGGGGATTTTCGCATAGTAACACACAACTGCCCACTGTCGTTACCGTTATATTGCAATCAACCTGCTTCTTGCGTGTCGGTTATATCGCGTATGCGATATTGAGCGAGAAGATCGACGCACGCACGGTCGTGATAACGATTCGGAACGACGAAATATTCGCGACACTCGTGGATTCGTGATAACGATTCGGATGACGGCGTGAAAACGGCAGCGAAAACGAATTCCTCTCGCGAGTATCGTATCTACGGGCTGCGCCACGTCACAGTGGGCAGACTATCTTCTCCGCTAAGAAAGCATCTCCTTCGCCGCGCGCGTTCAGATACAACTCGCGTTATCTCTCCTCGCTAATTTCGCTCCACATAACGGAACCTGGATTCTTAACGAGGCAACAAATGAGGCATACGAGTCGGTTGTAAGATTTTACTTTATGCTTTCTGTCCGCGGAGATTCCGTATGCATCGTTAAAAGGGAAGAAAATATCTAATTATCATGAAAAATTAAAATTTTTTGCTCTATGCTTTTTGTCTGCGGAGATTCTTTATGCAATGTAAAAGGGGAGAAAATATCTTATAAAAATTAAGATATTTTCAAGGCTCTCTTCGAATCCCATCTGATTTCAGTTTTAAGAAGAACAGGTCCCGACGAATTTTTCGAGTTGTCTAACTTAGAAAAAATTTCAAGTGCGATAATTGTAAACGCGACTATTTAACACCATTAATTATTTTTCGTTTCACAATATTGCGCCCCAGATGCAACATTAAGCGTGGGGATGCTGCAATAAAAATTTGCATGTTATGTGCGATAGCGATTAACAAGTGTACGTAATAAATAATGACTCCGTCACACAATGACCGAGATTATTTAATCGCGCTGCCCTGGAGCCGCTGAATCGAAGTCTCTTCGATCTCGCAGCTGGGGCGTTTTAATGAATGGACGTCATTTCGCGCGTTGCATATACATCCCCAACGGCCGTTTTAGGGCTGTAAAACAAAAGACTGATTTATTTCAGCACGCCCCTCAATCTGTCTCCGTGGACCACTTTTGATTAGTGCTGCCTCTTCAAGTTTCGGCCTTCCAAAACCCTCCGCCACCGTCTCGTGACGGATTTTATCCCGACGGGAATCACCTGGTCCGATTTGAAACTGACATTTGAAATCTGGCAGTATATTACGCCAGTATAATTTTACTAATCAATCGCAAAGATTTTATTAATATATCTTTATTAATGTGAAGAAAAAAATGAATATAATAAATTAATTTTCTAACACGTAAAGTTATTTAGATAAATGCTATTATTTTAAGTAAGAAAATAGAATCGGTTATTGTAAAAGTAAATAAGAGAGTTTAGGAATAATTATATCATAATCATAATAATATTAGAACTTATTTTAAGTCAATTATTCGGCATTTTAATGGAACAATAAGTAATAGAATCATGGTATTATAAGAGTCAATTATAGCGGTCGGCCAGTTAAGGCTGATATGTGTAACGTGTATCTCAACGGCGCGGCGCCTCAACTTCAATTAACTTTAATTAACTTCATGACGCTCGTTTTGTCCACTTTGAGTCGTCCAAAGACCATAAATTAAACTATAAATGTCGATTTCGCATAGATTGAAATGGTTGAAACTAAAACATGCACTTAACTTTACGCATTTTCAAATAATTTTAATCAAGGGAAAAAAGAAAATGTTTTATAAAAAAATTAAATTGCTTATGAAAAATAATCTTTGCTGATTTTGTTTGTATATATTTACGTTAAAAATTTTCGATCTCACAGATCTTGATTCAAAAGAGAAGTGTGTCCTCGCGTGCACTCGCGCAAATATGTTTTGCGTCGGGCGACAAATCGAGCTCGGTATTTTCAGCGCAAGCGGGGAAATTAATACCAGTATTCATTTATTCCGACACGGGCCACCCTGCATATTTGCCGAGTGTATTTATTTTGGAATTCGAACGACCGCACCTGGAATGGAGAATAAGAGAGAGAGAGAGAGAGAGAGAGAGAGAGGAACCGGGATGGAGAACGCGCCGCGATCGCAGACGTGTATTTGCTCAGCTATTTATCACGGTTTATTATTTCCCATTGTCGGCCGAAGTCGGCGCATTGTTGACGCACGAGAAGGGCCAAGGCGAATCTCTAAAACCGTGTCCGATCGAATTTGCATAGAACGCGCAGGGTGCATCCGATTACAGGCTCTATTAATTGTGGCCGCGCATTGTTCTCGCGGCCGGGGCCCGCGATTTACCCGTTTCTCGAATTACTGACGGACGGTTCGATCGAGCCCCCGAAATATCGAAAAGTACTTGCTTTAATAATGAATACGAGCATATATGCATATAGGAATCTCCTCTTACATATTTCTTGAATTTTTAACTTTTCACGTAGATATTACATTTTTCATATAAACTTTTATAATTATATTTAAAGAAACTTTCACAAATCAATGTATTTGTAAAGCTAGAATGAGATTCTTAGTTAGAATTGCAAGCATTTTCGTGGAACTGTTTATCGGAAAATCAAAATTCTTTTTACAATCCACGTAGTATTCTTTTAGAGGCTGAGTAATATAAAGATAATCGATATTATTTTGCACGCTTCTTTCGATGTTGCTTCTGAGAATAATTCGATGAATATTTATTGTTATTGGCACTTTGGATCACGGACTCTTGTGTAACAACACCGAGGGATGGTCGTCAAGGAAGCGAGGACTGCTAGGCGAGGAAGGGGGGGAGGGAGGGATGGGGTGGAGTTAGATGGAGTGGGCAAAAAATCGGGCATAAAATTAACAGTATACAGCCTGCAGAATGCAGTTTGTTGCTCGGCCGTAATATTTCACGAAGGTCTCCCCTGCGGGGCGAGAGAGTGGGTTCGCGTTCTCCAGGGGAGGACGCAACAATGGAACCCTTTACCGTGCCCCCGGTGCCCAGAGCCAGCATCCATACATCATCATTCATACTGGAAAAAAAGGCCGGGGGCACCTTTGCAGAGCACGAAGGTTGGGGGGACGGGGCGGGGAGCTTCGAGGCACCCCGAGTATTCCGCATCAAGTATTTCCCGAACACACATCGAGAGATTACGTCTTGTCCGAAAGTAAACTTTTCAGCGATTTGCTTAAGCTCTGTCCAGAGCGTTCGGAAACGATTCGGAAATTATGATCGTTCTCTCTGTCGCGATACGGAAACAATTGCGCGATGCTACTTTTCATACGTTCGAACACAATCTAAATTTTAAACTATTTTAACTTAACAAACGTATGATTATATTAAAATAAAAAATTTTTTTAGATACGTACTATATACGAGACACGCAAGTAAAATTATATTCAAATTTTGATGTAAATTGCATTTTAAATTAATTATTTAACAAACATATCTAAATACACTCAATGTGTATTTCTAACTTCGTCGTTTAATTTTTAATTTCAAGATTATGCGATAAAAATGTTCTAGCATGCAAAACCCGTAGAAGAGACGCGGCGTCTCTTGTAAAAATCACGGCGCGTCATTTTTGTGGTTATTGCGTTTTCCGAAGTCAAACTTTACCCCTTGGTCGGACACGCCTTCTGGTTAAGGGAGGATTACTCCGTAAACAATGGCGACGTATAAAAATCGCTATGACGAGCCCGAGAAACGTGCGAAACCATGATCGGGAGGGAAGAGTGAATCCTCGATCGTTGAAGGAAGATACGCGATCGGTTTGACCCAAGACCCATCGATCACGCGAGAAATGGCAGCCGTCGAGTTCGCCCGGTATCGAGAGTCGACTCGGCGTGAAGTGAGAACTAAAAAAAAAAGAGGAGAACGCGCGAGAGACGAACGTAATCCGCTTTCCGAAACGAGGCAACCCCTTCGTAGACGACGACCCATCGGCCGTGTCACAGCACGGGTGACTGATTGTAAAACCATGGAGTAAACCACAAAGGGTTGCGACACGATGCGCGCGACAGAGAAAAGGAGATAGAGAGAGAGAAAGAGAGACGAGTGAGTATGGACTGCGAGAGGGAGAGAGTTTAAAATTGCGCCTCGTAATCGACGTGTAATCCTCTACAACCGTGACAGCCCGGACATAATGCGCGCAACGAGAGATGACCAGTTTGTTTTCTCTGGTAGATAATGGACGACGCCGTTGAATGGGCGGCGGTTTATTCTGTTAACCCTTCCGTTGTCACGGAAAATCAGTGGTGGGCAGTATAAGTGCTATAAATGGAAATCTTAACATTTCTCGTGGAAGTCGAGTATAAATGCCTTCGCCAAGTGCAATGACATTTAATAAAATGTATTAAGAAGTATTTTAAAGTTTCTTTTTTTTTCAATTAAGCTAAATATGTTAATTTGTGGATGTATAAATATCCACGAGCACACATAAGAATGTTTAAGAAATCAGGTGATAAAATTCAATATAGGTATTTTACACAAATCGTGGTGGGCATAATTCGAGTGATATAAATGGAAATCTTAACATTTCTCGTGGAAATTGATATAAATATCTGTATCAAGCGCGATGACATTTAAATTTTTCTCCTTGAAATCCAATTAATAAATTTCTCAATATTATATTCCTGTATGCAAGTTACGAGCATAAGAAAATGTTAAGAGACCATTTGCATAGTAAAATTCAATATATCTATTTTACGCATAATTTTTTTTCAATTAATCTTAAATACGAAAAGCGATTTTAATATATTTGTCTTGAATACATTATTTTAATTAGGTCAAAGAGCAATTTACGCGTAGGCAGGTAAACACCTGATCAATATTCCGTTCGATTAGCATGACTTAGGGCAGTCTTCCAGAAGTGTGATCTCGATCATGCTTCCTTCACGCTTCGCTCGTCGCAGCTGTTGCGTAGCTTCAGCTCTGTACGGAAACTCGTTTACTTTTTTCCGCTGAAAAATTGCAACAGCAAAGTTTTTTTTTCCGTCGCCCGAAGGGTGTCTTCGCGCCCGAGTTTTCGCTTCTTTTCAACGCGTAGCGCGTCATCTGTCACGCTTTCCCAATCCATCAACGACATTCGTTGTTATAATTTATTTTCTGTGAAAGAAAATAAAAAAGTGCATTTATATCAAATTATTGGAACACGATGAGTA